AGCAGCAGCAGCAGCAGCAGCGAAATGCCACGAGCCGGGAAGAGCTGCAGCTCCCTGCCATGCGGGCCCCTTCCGACAGTTGGGCCGCTCCAGGTGGAATCGTTCGGCTTGTCATCTGCTCTTGCCTCGCGCCACGCTCGGCACTTCCGGATGGCCGCATCAAAAGAGCGAAATGCACGCTGTCTCGCGCCCGTCTCGCGCCCGTCTCGCCTGCTGGCCCGCTTCGGCTGCCCGACTCCTGTACCTGGACGGGCACCTGTACCGTAGCGTAGCTTGCTCAGCTCGCTCCGCCCGTTCTTGGGCTTGGGTTTGGGTTTGGGTTTATGGAAAAGAACAGAAAAGGGAAAAAGCCCGGGCAGATGAGCGGTTGCGTCAGTCCCCTTGGCTCGTCCTCGGGATCCGTAACAATAAGTTGCCGTGCTCGTCGGTCGGTGGACAACGGCTCAACTCCTTTCAGCCTCTTTTGCCCTCCTCCTCCTCCTCCTCCTCCTCGTCTTGGTCCACGCCCAATCCCACCTCTGGACGCTCGGCCTGGCTTTGCCTTCAACCCAAGCCCCTCTCCAACTCTCTCTCTGGCTCGTTCAAGACACGCTTCTCCCCCTACCTCGTCCCGCCTCCTCCTCCTCCTTCTCCTCTCTCCCTCTCTCCCCCTCCGTTCCGTCACGGCTCCTCCATCACGACGCCGCACGCTTCGCCTCTTGTCTCCACCACCATCACATTGATCACCTTCTTCTATATCACCTCATCACCTCGGTCAAGACTACTGTACTACATCCCATTCCACGCCCACCTTCACCGCGCCTCCGCCTCTGCAAAGCCGCGCTCATTCCAGCCGTCTCCACTCTCCATCGCTTCTCTCTCTCTCTTTCGGCTTTCGGTTTTGGACATCGAGTCTCTTCTACCCTTCATTCCCGCTCGGTCCGTCCGTGCTTCAAACGCTTACAACCGTCGCGGCGCCACACTGCCCGCTCGGCTCAACTCGTCGCACCATCCGTGGTACCACTCGTCGCATCCACGCGCCTCAATCATCCTCGACGCCAACACGACCGAGCCGCCTCCGTGCCACCCCTTGGCGTTGCGCTACACCGTTGCAACCGAGCCCAGCTCATCTGCCCTCCCTTTCCATCTCATTGTCCTGCCTGGACCCGCCGGCTACCCTGTCCGGATCCGAATCCCCTGTACCACCACAACCACAACCACCACAACCACCTCGCAAACGCTCGGCCTTCGGCCTCGAATTAGCATTGTGCGGCCCCGCCCCGCCTCGTCCCGCCCGACACTCCACCGACGCATCAGCTTCACTAGAACGGGATAAGCTTTCGACCGCCTTCATCTCGCGCACGGCATCTGCCGGCCAACGCCCACCGCAGCCGGATCCTTTCGCCTTCCGCCCGTCCCAACCCTCTTCCGCACGCGCACCTTCGTCTGCAAGCAAGCAAAACCTCGCACCCGTTTTCATCCTTCCCCACCATAGGCTCCCATTGTTGTCGCTTGTGCTTCCTTCCGCGGGCCTTTCCAAAGCGTCACAGCATTCCGCCGCCAAAGCCACACGCCTCGGGCCTCCTGCTTCTACTATCCCCTGCGCTTGGTCCACCCACAACCCGCCCTTCATGCTCAGTGTTCGTCGCTGCACCCAGTTCATCACTACTTCCTTATAGCATTCGCTACAAACCACCGTCCCCATACACCTGCTCCACTGCAGCCGAGCAGCGCCCCGCTTCCACAAGCGCTCCTAGACACCCTCCCTCGCTCCTTTCCGCGTCGGCCCTCCCATCCCGACCACATCAATTCGCGTGGCTGCTATGATGAGCACAGAACGTCGTGCCAGCGCACTTGCTCCCTCCCTCAACGCCGCCTCGCCAAGAGCTTCCAACGACGCTGCCGTTCCGCGCGACATGCAGCGCAACGCGCCCGACGCTTCCTCGTCCGCCAAGTCCCCCAACAGCCCCGATCGCAAGCGCCCCAGATATGAGCCTGCGCTCAGCCGGCCCGCCCAAGACGACATGCGCTCGCGCACCATCGACGACGAAGACGAGATGGACGAGCTCGACGAGTCCAACGAGATCAAGCGCGTCCGCGGCGAGTCCGACGACGCCATCCACGATCGCAAGCCATCTGGCACAGACATCGCCAGCAGGCCTTCGTCGGCAGCCGCACACCATGCCCACTGGACCAACAGATCCGCCTCGGCCGCAGTAGAGTCGCGCTACCAGTCCCAACATCAGCAGCATCCACAGCCCCGTCATCGCGACCCGCCCTCCGACTCACGCCGCTACGACTATGATCGCCCCATGCCCTCCAGATACGACGGCCCAGCCGCATCCAGGGACGACACTCGCCATGCTGGCGGACTTCCAGGCGAACGATACGCGGGCGAGCACGACCGCGACCCACGCGACCGCATGCCGTTCGATGCCAAGCAAGAGCATGGCAGCGCTGCACTGCGCATGCCGCCTCCCAACTCGGGCGAGCCCGGTATGGGCTACCGTAATCGCGCCGTCTCGCCGCCGCCGAGGTTGCCAGGCTTCGCCTCGCTCGAGCCTGACATGCCCGCACACCGATCGCGCGACGAGGCATCGCTCGCAGCGCCCTATTCGGGCTCGCCCCGCCGCAGCATGCCCTTCCATCCGCCGTCGTACGCCAGCTATCCGCCGCCGCCGCACAGCCGCACGCCGCTCATGCACCACCCGAGCCCCACTCCGTCCACATCCTACGGCAACCCACCCATGATCCACCCGTCGCTCGCCGGTCTTCCGGGCGCAGGCGGTGGTCCCGGCGGCAAGCAGCAGCCGAGCTTCGTGAGCAAGCTCTACTCGATGCTCGAGGATGCCTCCATCTCGGACCTTATCAGCTGGGGCGCCTCGGGCACCGTATTCAGCGTCGCCAATCCAGCCGAGTTCTCTAGGCTCGTGCTGCCCAACTGGTTCAAGCATTCCAACTGGCAGTCGTTTGTGCGCCAGCTCAACATGTACGGCTTCCACAAGGTCAACCACTCGTACCAGGGCAACCCCACCGACGAGGTCCAAGTGTGGGAGTTCAGGCATCCCT